TTTTTTTTTTTTTTTAATACTGGGGATTGAACTCAGGACCTTGCACTTGCAAGGCAGGCAGCTGAACCACTGAGCTAAATCCCTGGCCCACAGAGAATAAGTTTTTGAGATACAGGGATTTTCCGGTTTAGAGGATTCCCATTTAGATATTTAAACTCTGATAACTGAAACTCCTTAGAAGTGCTTGTGAAGGCGATTCTTTTTTTTTTTAATTTTTAAATTTTATTTATTTATTTTTTCTTTTTATTGAGTTTATTGGTACAATGTAGGTATACAATACAATTACATTCATCATTGGGATTCTGTACCTTTACATAATAGATCTTGATTCTCATTTTTCCCCTTGTCCCTGCCCTCCCTTCACCCCCTCCTCCCCTCCCCATTTACAAACACTTTATTTCCATTTTTTCAGTTTCTCATATTTTTTTCCTCTCCCTTATTACCTTTCCCCCACCCTTCCCACTTTCCCTACACCTTTAGCCCTTTACTTCCTATTTCACATTATTAATTATCTCATTAGGATCCTGTGTACTATTATAGTTTTTCATACCAAAGAAACTATTTGGTATTTCAGTTAAAGAAATCTCTGTATGAACATTAAAAATAGGGAATCCTAAATTAAAACTAAAAAGGAAAGTAAAAGAGAAAAGGCAATGATGTAACATCAAAATAATCCTTAATTCTGGAGATGAAAATGGTCCCTGAACATATTTAAATTGCTTCTCGCTCTTATAGTCTTATCTTATTCTTTTTTTCATTATTTAGAGAATACTTTATTAGTTTCTGTAATCAAACCCATGTAGATATGACCTTACATATTTAGTATGATGTGTTACCCCTGTACACATGGAAAAAAAATAAAAATAAAAATAAATTAACATTTCTAGACCAATATGGTTGTCCATTTCTGTACAATGCCAAGTCAACACAGTAAATTGGGATGACTTTTTCCAAAGTTGGCAGCACCGTTAAAGTTTCCCAAAATTCAATTTATATATATATATGTGTGTGTGTGTGTATATATATATGTATATAGACTAATAATAGTATGTTATGCATCGATAGCAGCAACAGCTTTTCCAGGTTCTGTAGTCATCTGAACAAAATTTATAGACATTCAGCACATTCCATTAAAAAAAACAAAACAAAACAAAAAAAAAACAAAGAAAATAATAATATCCAGAAAACAGCAAAGTTCTGTTGCTGTTGTGGTACCTGGCACCATTTTTTCTATTAGCCTCTTAATCATCATCTGGAAAGAGAATATTCTAGAGTAATATCATTAAACGTAGCTCTGATAAAGCACGGTCCCTACTATGTATCATAAAGCAGGTACTAGATATTTTACATTCATAGAGGTATGATACAGTACCGTCCTACATCAGTAATACTAGAATCAGTTTTGGTTTGAAATTTACTTTGTCTGCAAATAAGATTGCTACCCCTGTATTTTTCTGGGCTTCTGTCACATGGAGAATTGTTTTCTATCTTTTCACTCTCAGTGTCTGGGCTTCTTTTTGCACTAGGTGTGTTTCTTGTATACAACATATTGGATTTTGCTTCTTATTCCATTTTGCCAGTCTATTTCTCTTGATTGGTGAGTTGAGGCCATTGACATTGCTGGTTATAACTGATATGTACTGACTTATTATTGACATGTTATTGGCCTTTTGTTGACTCTTTTTACTTTTTCACCTTCTCCTTTTAATTTCTTGCCTTGCCTATTTGATTTGCTCTGTTGGGCCTCATGGTGTTGCCTTCATTGTCTTTTTGTAGGATCTTGTTTAGAATTGCTTGTAGTGCTGGTTTGGTATTCATGTAGTTTCTCAGGTGTTCTTTGTCATGGAAGTGTCTTATTTCCCCCTCCATTTTGAAAGAGAGTTTTGCTGGATACATCGGTCCAGGTTGGAGGTTGTTCTCTTTTAGTACTTGAACTATTTCATTCCAGGCTCTCCTTGCCCCAAGGGTTTGTGTTGAAAAGTCTGCTGTGATTCTGATGGGCTTTCCTTTGTATGTGATTTGTTTCTTTTCTCTTACTTCTTGTAGTATTTTGTTCTTCTGTTGGGTTTCTGGGATCTTGACTATTATATGTCTAGGTGTAGATTGCTTTTGATTGTAGCTAGTTGGGGTCCTATATGCCTCAGTTATCTGAATGTCCATTTCTTCCCCTCTGTTTGGGAAGTTTTCTGTCCTTAATTCTGCAAACAGCTTTTTTAAGTCATTTGTATTTTCTCCTGCTACTTCATGTATTCCTATCAGTCTTATGTTGTTCTTCTTTGCATCATCTAGGAGTTGTTGGATTGATTTCTCATGATCTCTTACTGTTTTTAAGAGACCTCTCTTTTCATGGTCACTGACTGCAATCTTATCTTCTATATCTGAGAGCCTATCTTTGCATTCTTTTATTCTGTTGTGTACACTTTCAATAGAGTGTTTAATCTCCTGGATATGTGTTTGAATCTGTTTTATGGATTCCATTTCTTTCCTATGTTGGGCGTTTATTTTTTCCATTTCTTTCTTATGCTGAGCCTTCATGGCTTCTATCATGGTCCTGAGCTCATCTATTTTT